GAGATAAATAATTTCTTCATGGAACCTTGTAGAGAGGCTGGAGGATTTATAAAATGACAAAAATAGTTTGTATTTACTGTGTGCACAGCCAAATATATGCTGAAGGGGGCTGCATTTTTAGAATAATCTTTTTGCAACAACAACATTTGTAGTTAACATTTTCTCCAGCGATCCTGCAATGAGCACACTTGCATTACAAACAAGAAGCCCTACGAAAAATTCTTTAGTTAGTAAAACGAAAAACTAACAGCGTAGCCCCCGAAAGCACTGTTCAAGAAGCGTTACAAAATAAACGTAATCAAAGTATGTGAAGTGGTTGCCAAGATATCTGTTCCATGAGTTGACCATAATGCCGAAAAAATCAGTACTGAGAAAACTGCGTTTAAAGCTTTGCCTTTTCTTTCCATCTCTAAAACACCTAAAAATTGTGATCTTAGGTTTGTTTTGAGATATTTGACTTCTCAGGCAAGTGGCTTCTGCCCAGTGTGCCAATGTTGCCATTTTTTTGTGTTTTTCATAACTTCCTTTTGCGATCTACAACGAACAAGCATGGATTTCAAACCAAGTTTTCTGCAAGAAGGAGTGGTGTGATAGGCATCACAGAATAGACTGTAATTGATTAAGGCCGTATACTGAAATGATTGCACATCTTTCTTGTGTTCAAGCTGTCATTAGAGTAATTAAGTACAGTACACTCACGATAATTAAAGCTCGGACAATTCATACCTTTGGTTAACTTAAACAAAATTCAATTTTGTGGTTGGCCCTCTAATCTTTCAATGTATTAAAAAGCCTCTTAATTCAAACACCATCATTCGGTCGATCCTTACTTTTTGCGGTTTTACACTAGAAAATATCTGCTGCTTTCCTACTACTATATAAAAACTTAAGTGCTTATGTAATCCTAACACTTCAAAAATGAAGAATAAGCGTCTTAGGCTTTCAAGAAAAAAGGCTTTGGGAGTGAACAAACGTTTGAAGCGAAGCACCCGCATGGTAAACCGTGATACTTCTCAACTGGTATAAAGAGCTTTGTAATGAAGGCACATATAGCAAAGAAGCAGTTGGTAATTGACGATTTCTTTAAGGGGGGAAGAGGCACTTAGCCATCAGGCATCTTATAATTTAAGCTAGGGTAATGAAAATGTATCAGATGGTGTATTTACACGCGCAGATGTTAAATACGAACTCAGTTTTTATGTACCTTAATTTTTTTTAAATTAGTCATTATTAAGATATCTTTTGATCACCTTTTCAGTAAATTGGCTGTACAGATCTTGCTGAATTAAATGACATCTCATTTTACAATTAGCAAAGAGTGCAAAAAGCAAGTTTCATAGCTCTAGCTTTCCTACAACAAAAGTTATGAAGTTTAGAAGTTCATCCTTCCATTATCAAAGAAGGATAATTTTTGTATTTTATTTTTTCTAAAAATTTATGGTGTCCTATAGTTGCATATGGCACTTTCTTGCACTCACTAAGCATCCAGCTTCTTAGCAAGACAAAAATTATCAAATTCCAGTGTACCAAAGCTGAGAAGCGCTTGTCAGAAGAATGAAAGGTGGCCAAAAAACTGAAACTGAGAAAATCGCAAAAAACAAAGCTCTGTATATTCAAGGAATTCAACCCAAAGAAAAATGCTTCTCTTTGCATATAAATGCCTCAGAAAGCACCAGGGCAGTAGTCTTTGTCACACTTTTGTCCTTGCCGCCGCTTTGTTTGTTGCAAGAACCTAGAAGATGCTAAACGCTTTCGCTCTGCACTCATGATCCGACGAGAATCTTTCTCTTCTGCCCGTCGCTCGCTCATGGAGTTTTGCTCTAGCTGAAGTTCTTTGAGGATACGTGTGGAGGCTTCTTTCATTCCTGAATTGAAGCGCATCACGGCCTTAGCAACTGCAGTCTCAACAGCTATGAGTGAAGCATGCTTCTCTTTAGGCATTAGAGACAATATTACAGAATCGAGTGACTCGTTTGCATTTTGTGTCTTGCCTCTTTGGCAACGTTTTAGCAGCTCCTTGTCACAAAGTCGCTCGTAGACTGGAAATAGTGCATCACGGACATTTTGTGGGAAGTTGTAGGTGTGTCTTGGCAGCGGTTCTCCTCTTGCAGCAGCAGCATTCTTCTTGCACCATGAGTCACTGCCACTTGGGCACAATGTGTGGTTGGACCTTTCATCAGTCGATGTTACATGATAATATGTGGCCATGGCTGCCCGGTGCACTGCATCTACGTCACCAATATTGGACTTCGAAGCCCAGCCATAGTATCTCGACAATTTTTCTAGGACATCACCTGTCAAGCGGCCTCTTCCACTTGGTGTTTCACCAGAACCTTTATGCTTTTGAACAAGATTGCGTAGTGCAGTACCCATTCGTTTTTGGACATGGTTTATACAGTCCTCTTTTTGAACCTGTATGAAACCATGACTGTCGAGTCTTCAACAGCACGAAATGATCTACTGTCCCCATCATATTCTCACTGTGTACCGCAAGCCGTGACCGGAAATTGAGCGCTCAAAGAGAGTGACTGCTGCCCCCACTTCCATGTTCCCTGATTTGCACTGTGTATTTTTCTGGCAGATGTGCGATGACTCCCAAGCCAAGTAACTTGGGTGCTCTTTTGGTGGTGCACGCTTGCAGCTGGCACAAAAATTTGACAGGACAACATAGTCTAATATATGGCCAGAAAACAGCTCTATAACAACACCCACAACAATGTGCGACAGGTGGCCTCTGGCCATCCATGTGCCATCATAACAGATGGCCACATTAGCTGGCTTGTCAAAGCACAGATCTTGGTATAATGTTTTAACTTACATGGCGCAATCAGAGAGGACTTTGTCTGTAGCTCTTGTTGCCGCAGGATTCAGTTTATTTTTCAAATGGCTCTGATAGCTTTTGTAGTGAAGTCCTCTGTGAGAAATTCGTTTAAAGCTGCCTGGCCATTCCCCGTGCTTTGCACGGCACGAGACGCACAAATATTGACTTCAAATGCAGTGCATTTAGCCTGACTGGGTAACCTCCCAGAGCTCCACTCATTGTCAACAAGTCCACAGTTGCGGCACTCTCAAATCAGCTTCATCACAAGTTTATATTCACGCTCACTTTTTTCAATAAAAATGGTACCGCTGCATGTCCAGCATTTGGCCGTTCTTTGAAGAAGCTTGCTTATCGCGGATAAGTCGACGATCCCGTACGTAGCCACCGACGGGTTTGAGTCCTCGCGCGCTGTCGCGAGCGTTCGCAGCTTGCGCTCGCTCATTGAAGTTGCCGATAAGCTGCTGATCTTATCAGCACTCACTTTCTACTGTTGTGCACGATCCGCGCTCCTCAAAAAGGTTCCTCAATCGCCGACGTCATTCGAGGCAGCCGAGGAAACAGGCGGAGATGTCGGCGTATCATCCAACAGATCGTGTTTCGTTGCCGCGCCGTCCTGTACTAGGTGTGCGTCGGATATACCCACACCACTATCTCTTTTTGCCAAGATTTGTTGCGCTTTTTTCCGGGCTTGTGATCGGTGCGGAACTTGCGATACGGCTTTGGCATAATGAAAGGTTCAAGCCAGGTTCAACACGTGGCTGAGAGCGTAGGCTTAACGCACTGGCCCGGTGGCTGCGCCGCGCTTCGTCGGGCTGGTTCGGCGGCATGCCTGAATGTGCAGACTTGAGAAATGCTTGCTCCAATTTCTCGCTAGCTCGCGCGGGTTCAGAAAGCCAATGAGAACAATGACATATGAGTGAGATACACCCGCCGCTTCACGTGCGCTCTACTGCCACACGCAGCAGACAGCTCAGGAAAACGCGGCCGAGAGTGTAAGCCTACCGCACTGTCCTGGCGGCTTTGTCGAGCTCGTTCAGCGCCGTACCAGTATATGTACTGTCGAACGTAGAGACTATACAGAGATGCTTGCTTTAATTTCTCGCTAGCTCACGCGAGTTTAGAAAGCTGACGAGTAAAAAGCGACATACACTCGCCGCTTCACGTGTGCTCGGCTGCTGCACGCAGCAGACAGCTCGGCAAGCCCGGCGAATCGGAAGCCGCGATTTAGTCACGTGTGCTCACCACACCAATAGGCTCACGCGACAGAGCTTTTTTTTTTTTATTCACGGCGTGCATACCGAGTGGACGAAAACAAACGCGGCAGGATATGAAAGAAAAAGGGCGGCTCTTTCGAATGCGACCAAGACGGTTGCTGTAGCAAACGTAGTACGGCAACACCGCGGCGCTGAAAAGGCCCGTTTTTCACGCGTCTATTACCGAAAATTCAGCTCACTAACCTTGCATAAACTACTCTCATGGCTAAATTACCAATCTAGGACGCGTGAAAATTAGCGAGATTACGTAGCGATAGTGGGAGAATCCAAATCTACCATTTTCAAAAAAATTTTATTTTTTAGTGATTATCGGTCTCAAAGACCCGCTTCACCTCTTAAAATTACTTATCCATGCCTTTTCTAGTAAAAAATACACATACATAATATTGACGTGTTACTATGGTGCCTCGAATATGTGCAATGATTGCTTTTTAATCGACAATCGCACAAATATGAACGCTGAACCTTGAGCAACATTGGTGGGCGCTGGGGATGGGGTCGGCCGTTTGGAGTATCGTTTGGCCACCTTGATGCCGTTTAGGGTACCGTTAAAGGTGAACAAACAGACAAACGAACAGACAGACAGACTAAAATTTTTGCGTCGAAGGTCCCCAAGAAAGACTATTGTCTTAAAAAAAACGCACACACAGGTGAGCAGAAAGACACAAAGACAGCTGTGGAGGCAGGTTCAGCATTTAGCTCAAGCGTCGCCAATGGATTATCGGTGGCTGTAAGTGGTCCCAGTGAAACTCAATTCCCTGTAACCAGTAGGCAGGGCTCACAGACGTTCTTTGTAAGAGCGATTTTGTGCCACTGAAATAATTTGTATTTTTACGGTGACGCGGGTATCAATTGTTGCGGGTCTGTTATATGCGGGCTCGACTGTATTCAGTGATCAAGCTCACCCCTGTATGTAGGCTTGTTCATGAGGGCCATGCGGGGACAGTAGTGCTTCCCTGGGAAGCCCGACACATGAACCTCAAGAGGCACAGGCCGCACAGCAGGCTTGAAGTTGTACAGGCCAACCTGAAAAAACAAAAAAAAAGTGCCGCCATATCCACGAAGTGAATGATGATGAGTGGGTGAAGCTTCGGAGGTAAACCTGGTAAACCATGAATCCTCTGTACATTTTGCCCACTCGATTTTATTACATCGCTCCCCCTAGCGTACGTCGCCGCACTAAATCGAACGATTGCTTTCAACCAATGACACGCGCCATATGTGACATCATTCCTATTTTATAAGATCTCGCGTCTTTCATCAACTACAAGTACCGCTTTCTAGTTTATAACATCTTGCATCTTTTCATCATCAGCTACAAGTACCACCATCTAGTAAACACTACAAGAACTAAACGAGAGGTGGCTACATACAGGAGACGGTACCGCCATCTAGTGAACACTGCAAGAACTAAACTAGAGGTGGCTACATACAGGGGACGGTACCGCCATCTAGTGAACACTGCAAAAACTAAACTAGAGGTGGCTACATACAGGGGACGCACAGCCCACGCCCTAAGGAGCTTCACCCCTAAAAGCCGGGCATTTCACCAGCAAGCAAAAAGCACTGCACAAGAGACCACGCCAGTGGGAACAGATGTGCCTTGTGCCTGCAAGGTTTCTCGCGGTTCTTTCTAAAGGTAATGCCTTTCCCAAAGCATAGCTTAACCCCTTTACTAGATGGCACGTACTGGTACGCTGTATCGTGCACTCTCTTTTTTCTGTCTTCCTCCAGCAGTCGCATAGGGCTACATTGTGCAGTGGTTGCGGATAAAAGAGCTTGAAGGGATGGGTTCAGCATGGCAAGTAACCCTCACTTCGGAGCCCCCGAGAGATCCACGTACCTTTTCTGGCACCAATGATGTTGATGTAGAAACCTGGCTGAAGCCATACGAGCGAGTAGGTGTACGTATGCGATAAAACCCAACGCTCATGGTGGCGAACGTGATTTTTTATCTTAGAGGCGCTGCAAAGGTCTGGTATGAAACGCACGAAGAAGAGCTGACCAGCTGGAAGTTATGCAAGCACAAGCTTCGGGAGCCATTCGGCAGGCCTGAGGGAAGTCAACGCATCGCCCAAAATGAGCTCTCACGCCGCATTCAGACGTGCGCCGAATCCTACCTCACGTACATTCAGAATGTGCTCGCTTTGTGCCGCAAGGTGGACTCGTAGATGTCTGAAGCTGATAAGGTTGGCCATGCTATTAAGGGCATAGCAGATGACGCCTTTCACTTTCTTGTGTTGAAGAATTCACCTATGGTCCAGGACATTATTTCTGAATGCCGGCACTTTGAAAAAGCCAAGAGCCGCCGTGTTCTCCACCAGTTTGCCCGCCTTCCAAACACGGCTGCAACGTCCACATGCTAAGACCCTCCTCTGCCTTCTTCAGAAAGTCCTGGTGACGTCCGTATTGTCCGTAGAGAAATAGAAGCCGCGGCTCCACTCACGTCACCCTCCCCTAACTCCGACAGCTATTTTGCCACCGTCTCCCTCATTCAGACTGTCGTGAGGCAAGAATCGGCCAGCGCCGGCTTGAACATCTGCTCCTTTGATCGTCCGGACTGCACCCCACCAAATCCACCTGCGACTATTGTGTCCATCCGACGTTTTGCTGCAACCCCACATTATCGTGGCCTGGCGGAATGGTGTACCGGGACGACAGGTCAATATGCTTCAATTGTGGACATATAGGCCACATTTCACGCCACTGCCGTGCTTGGTTCAACTTGTGGGAATTGAGGCTAGCCCACTGCCGTTGCGCGGGCTTTGCCGCCTTTTGTGCCGTTCTCATGTCCCGACATTTCTACGCTCCTCCGCTGTCTGCCGCGCTGGGTGAGCAGAGTGACGTTTATACGCTCACCCGGTAGTGAATGTTAACTGTGGCGCCGTGCGCAGAGTCTCCCGAGAGGTTCTCGCGCGCTGCGTCGGGAGCGGGAAGATACTCTCCGGGACAGCCGAAAGTGAGCCACGCAATCTTTTTCGTTCCTTGACTCCCGTCGCTCGTGGCTTGTCGGACTTCGCTGACGGCGCCTCGCACCCGAGGCGAACGCTCATCTTTTGTTGCCCCTCTGCGTATGCTCAGCCAAAAGGTGGTATGGTGTCCTAGTGCGCGGCCACGCTACGCCGACCTGTCTCCTTCCGAAGCCAACGCGAGCGCCTTAGCCCTCGCTCGAGCAACCAGGCTTTGGTCCCGGTGTCTCTATAGATCACCTTTACCACGGACACGTGCTCGTCGCACCCTGCGTAGTACTTTTATGCCCGTGGCGTGGATAAGCCTATTTGCTTTCCCGCTGCGCCTTTGCAACGGGCTGTACTGCGTTTGGTGTTGCCACAGACAATAAAGCGTTGCGACTTTGAGCACTATCGTGTTCTCGCCACGGCGACGGTTAACGCGTGCCCTGCGGCTCACTAAGACTGGACCCACGCTAGTGGCCGTACTCGTTCGGGATACGTGTCACTACACTCTGGTCCGTGGCCTCACTCAATTTCTCGCGCCCTCGATCCAGCCGCTCCCCTTCGCCGCAGTGTCGTTCCTCCCGCTCGCCCCCATCTCATCGATCGCAGCCCCCAAGCTCCTTCTGGCGCTCACCTCTGGAAAACTGACTGGAGTAGCTCTTGGAGCTGATGCTGCAATACCAACCCGATGCCAGAATCCTCTACTGACCCTGCCCGCACATCAAAACCTTATCGATGTTGACGTCAACGGTGTACCAACTACGGCCCTCAATGAGACTGGCGCACACGTGTTCATCATGAACGTTGACCTTAGAGCATGGCTGAAGAAAGTCCTAACTCCTGGCCGAACTCCTGCGGTCTGAACTGCCAATGGTAAAACAGTCGCCGGATATCACACATCAGTTCTATTTCATAATTTAGAACATTGCCCTCACGACGTTATTTTGGACCATGAATTTTTCTCTGAACATTCAACCTTGATAGACTGTTCTGCCGGTATAGTGCAACTCACTCTACCTACTGTTGTTGATCCCCCAAGTTACCCTTCAAATCAGCTCTGTTCCACAAAACACCTGCATCGCACACAATGAACAGTTGCTTACATAGGTGTCTCCCCTGTTCCATCTGTCCCAGACGGTGTTTGTAATGTGTCCCCCAATGTTGACGTCCCGCTTTCGCACAACGCTGCATTTCATCACATTGTCGTCACTATAACGGCCAACGCATCCTGCCTACAACTAGTGAATTTCAGCCTATGTACACAAGTCCTCCCTTGTAGTATATCTCTCGCTGAAATCATTCCGGCACCAGAGTACTATATTTGCACTCAAAGTTGTGACAGCATCCCGAGTGCAGAGAAAACTTCATCTACTCCTCCGGACTGTAGCCTGGCTGGGGGCCTTGGCATCCCGGCAGGCGTGTTTACTTGAGTGCTAGCTTCGGTACCGTACGCTATGCCAAAAGCGGCGCCTTGTGCTTGAAGTGGTCACACCACACCAAGCTGCACTTGCCGTAGGCATACTGTTCGAGGTTTGCCCTAGCTCTCGTGACCAGGCCCAGTGGCCATCGTGAGAGTGCGCAGCATAGCTGCGAGGGACCTTTTCCTGACCTGCGTGTTCATGCTTGTCATTGCCAGCTGCGACGTGCTCGCGGCTTCCCCTTATCATGAACGTCCGCGTGCGGGAGCCTTCGCTTTCCGCGTCCCAGGAGCGGACGTTGTACTGTTGCTCAAGGTGCCGCCAAAGGTAATAAAGTGTTGGTGTATTTCTGCTATTCGAACACTTTCTGTTTTGCTGCGCCGTGCTAAACGCCTTGATAGTTGAGCACTTGCGGAGCGTTGCGCTACACAAGAGTAGGAGACAGAGTCACGACCCTGTGGCTCGCTATGCCTGAACTCGCGGTGATCATCCGCTACGGTGAGTAGCGAGGTCACCACACTGGCACCCAACGTGGTATCAAAGGCTTATTAAGCCTTTGATTAGTCTTAGCCGAGTCAGCCCACCTTTGTGAATCAGGCTCGCTGTGTTTACCCGTGTTTTGTCTGCTCCGAGTAAGTTTTGTCCGCTGACGCTTTTAGCAGATACCGCATTACTCGAGAAAGGGGCCAGTGCCCCTCACGAGCATCACAATTGCGCACCCTCACTTGTCACAAGCGCCAGTCGGGATGACTTGAGGTGCTACGTAACAGCTCCCACTGGAGAGGTAGCGTGTTTTGGGACCAGGGCGATAGCCCAACTCGAACAGTGCACACGGGCAAGTTGAACTGCTACTGCTCCCTTTGGAATGCATGGCAGTTCCTTGTCACAGTGCTCCGAAACAGCTCTCAGTGGAATTTCCGGGGTGCAGATCAGCAACGCGGCCTCAGCCATCGCCGAATTTTGCCGGCTAGCTACGCAACCTAGCAGCCAGGCTCATTTCGAGCACTTGCCTGTACCGCTAGCCGCAAGTGGTCTAGCAATTTCACGTGAAGCTGCCCCAAGAGGCAGCTGTGAACAACAGGCGCTCCCCAGTGTTGCGACGGCCGGTATCCATTTTGAAACCGCGCCGCTTATCGAGCTCTGACACAGTTCCCTATTGCTCGCCCACGCCGCTAATGCACGGACAGTTTCCTTTAAAGCTGGCGAACAAACGCTGCTGCAAAATGCCGCCCAAATAATTTAGGCACTCCCGGGGGCATCCCAAACGCTTTCGGCCGTTCCAAAATGGCCTCATCCTGCTGTCATGCTGGCCGTTCAAACCTACAGCCGCAACGATGGTCTGCAAAGTGCAAGAGATTACCTGGACTCCCTCACACGTTACCAGAGACCCATGGGTCTAGACGACCAAGAAGTGCTCGAATGCGTCGTTCCGACTGCAATGACTGACACGGCGGCCAGGTGGCATTGGCTTTCCGGCCACCGAGCAGCAACCCTTGATGAGTTCCGCACGGCCTTCCTGCGCTAATTATTACCTGCTGACTACGTGAGTAGGATGCGGCGCGAGCTCGAGCTCCGCACACAAGCTCCTGATGAGTCGCTTCAGGAGTACGTACGCACAATGGAAGACCTTTTTGTCTATCGCTGAGCCCAGAGC